TTTGGCTATGTCTTGGGCTACTCAAATATTTTATGTTTTTGATACTAAATTAACTTCTGAAGTATAATTTTTTATTGTTTTTATATTTTTCAATATATTTATTTTGTTCATAGAAAATAAAAAAATAATTTTTAATGATACAATAGTCTTCATTAGGCTTAACATCGACAAAAATTCAATGCAAAGCGACATGCAACAGAGAAAAATTTCAACATGGAATAGGTTAATATATTTTTTCATACATAATTGGTTATCCGAAATATCGATTTTCTGAACAACCCCAGTCCCCAATTGATTCGGATAATCAACGCTCTACTGTAATAACAATAACTAAGATGCAACGCTCTCCAAAAAAAAGAGGAAAACCTCCAAGTCACCGAACCAAATCAGATAATAGTAAGGAAACTTCATCGTCATCTAATGTTAGACTTATAACAGAATACAATACATATGCCAAAAAGATCTCCCCTGAATCAACTACTGCAGATACTGGACTAAATCCGGAAACAACACTTTAAAGTTCACAATATTCAGGTGAGACAATTGAACCTTTTTTTTCTTCATCAGATAATCTGAAAAGTTCATCTGACATATCAACTACAGCATTATAAAATAAAATTTCCGAATTAATTAATATGTCAAATACAATCAAATGACATCTATCAAAGAAGAACTGGACCTGATTCATAATAGTGTCCAAGAAACTAAAGAGCAAAATAAAAAAATGAACTCTCAAATTACTAATCTTGAACAACAAATCGTTAATCTGAAAATGGAAAATGAAAAAATGCAATATCAAATGGATTATCTGGTAAATGAACAACATCATAATAATATAATATTATATAGATATCCTAGTAAAATAAGTCCCACCAAATTAGAAATTTATAATTTAGTTAATTTAACATTAAAACTACAATAAATCACTCTGGACGATTTTATAGTGGTAATTCCAATGACTAAATCAAAATATCCAACTATTAAGTTAATTTTTAAAAATATTAAGATTCGAGATTACGTATATTCGAGTTTTATTAAAATGAAACAGCAAAATTTATT